TCGGCCTGTCCTGGGCAGCGCGGCGCGGCGCAGTCACCGCCTTGCAGGATGCATAACGTCGTAGTCTGGCGGCGTCGTCTGGTGGCGTCACAGGTTATGCACACCCAGCTGCACCCGGCAAACTTTGTTTCCCGCTGCGCAACACAAAGAGAGCCAGCATCAGCGTTATCGGGCCGAAATAAAGCAAAGCAAATGCGAGCGAATGCGCCTGGTGTCCGTCTGTCTGTCCGTCCGTCCGTCTGTTCGTCCGTCCGCCCGAGCGGCTTGTTAGCATCCTCATTCTCGCGTAATTCGGGCCCTGTTCAGTTTCCTCTCACGCCCCGCCTAACACCCTTAACGTCCTTTACGTTTCGTTAAGTTTCGTCACGTTTCTGTGACGCCTCGTCACGGCCAGTCACGCGCCGTCACGGCCGGCAAGCCTCCATGTCCCGCGCAGACTCGACGAGTCGGGCCCGGACCGCCGCCGTCCGGGTCAGCGGCGGCAGTCTGCGGCAGTCTGCGGCCCTGTTGTTGCCAAGCCTTTTCTCTGGACATCACCAACATCCTCCAGTCATCATCGCATTAGGGGGGAATTTGCTGTCAGGGGGGATTTGCGGGAACGTCGATGCCGAGCCAAGTTATGAACGCTTGGGTGGCCCCAAGGGTGGCCCGCCGCGGCCTGGCCCTGCTGCGCTGCCTGGCCTTTGCACACATTGGACAGTGATGACGGAGTGGCAGCGGCCCGCAAACGGCGGAGGGCGAACCGGAACACCCGAACCGACGAACAGGGAGAAAGGAACTGTCCCGCAAAACACATTGCTAAGACGTATTGCTTGACAGGTCAATTTGAAGCGGCTGCTGATGCAGACCCCTCCCACTGGCGCCCTGGCTGGCCCGCCCTGGCCCAGTTCGCCTCGCGCGGTTCGCTGTGCCTATTGTGCAGTGCTCTTGTTGCTGGCATTTTTGTTGGTGTCTCGGCCCAAGACCCCCTCCGGGCCCCCTCCGGGCCTCTCCCCCTTTTGCTCTCCACCACGGCGACACGTGCGCAGTGCGCGGCGTGCACAGCGGGCCGCCCCCTCTCTGAGTAATTGCCCCGCCCCAGCGCGATTATTATTGCATTAGTCAAATAATTTTGTTTACAAATGCCGCCGGGTCCGGCGACCATTAACTACATTACGATCGCACATTGATTACCGTGCTGTAAAATGTTTATGCATGGCAGTCATTTGCGGGAGAAGAGAGAGAGAGAGAGAGGGGGGTGGGGGGTGGGGGGCTAAAGTCTATTCAACAACAACTTTGATGAGGAGGCCCGTCTTACCTGGTTGGCGTTTAAACGTTCCAGAAACTCCCGCTAATCTAAATGCGCAGCCCTGGGGATGGAACGAGCCGCCCAGAGGGCTCATGCTTTAATCTTTTAATGGAGCACAATCTCTGCCCCACCCCTATCTGTCTCACTCTCTCCCCCTGGAAAGGTTATCCCTTCCGACATCTGACGGTGGTCTTGTGCCGCACAATGTGCTTCCTCCAGCCTCAGGCCTTACCTCCGTCATGAGCAGAGCGAGCGAGAGGGGGCATCGGAAGGCAGTGCTGTTAAAGTTAATTTTTTTTGTTAACGAGTTAAAGTTAAGCCGTTAACCTAACCGAATTAACGTACTCGTTAAAGTTAAGTCTCTTCGGCATTAGTTAACGAGTTAACGTTAAATTAACGCATTAACGAAGTTAAAGTTAGTTTTACTTCTTGATGAACCGAAGACGTTGTGTGATTTCTTGATTTTTGACAGATTTTCAGTCCTCAAGATGCCAAAAAATGACTAACTTTCAAAACCTTTCACAAAAATTGAGGTCTTGTTCATTTTCTTTCACCCAAGACATAAATTCTACATATTGTATGACCCAAATGTCGGCAAAATATGCATACACAGATGAACAAAGTAAACGTTAACGGCGTTAAGAAGTTAACATTCCTACTTAACTTAACTCGTTAACGTTAAGACATTCTGACTACTTTAACGAGTTAACGTTAATTCGTTAATTAACGTTAACGGCGTTAAGTAACTTCGTTAATCGTTAAATTAACTTTAACAGCACTGTCGGAAGGGGTTGCTCTCGGGATGAATCATTGTATGTTTCTTGAAATTAATGCGCCCCTTTCTCTTTTTGCAGGGTCCCAACGACGGCGGTGCGGTGGATAGTCGTCCTTTTGCTTTTCCTTTCTGTCCTGCATTTCAGCAGGTAAGTACCACAACAGGCACGGAACGAATCATCACGCCATTCGGATCAATCGCACATTATTTTTGTCCTATCACCAGTGGCAACCAGTCCAAGAGCGGGGTAGCCAAGGTCAATTTCCGTGAGAAGGAGAAGCAAGTTTTGGACCAAATCCTGGGCCGGTACGACGCCAGGATACGGCCGTCGGGCGAAAACGGCACCGGTGAGTATTCGTGTACACTGTACACTGACTCCGTCTTCTTCAACGCAGCGCGTCGCAGAGCGAGGACTTTTGCCGCCGGGATATGACCAATCGCTCTGCCAATGCAAGGAGTTGTAGATTTCCAGACTCACTCAACGGAAAGTCGTGCTCTTTTTCTGTTTGCACATTTGAGGGCAGGGTAGCTCGTACCTGTGGAGGCCCTCTTTTGTGCGGAAGGCAAACGGACTTTTGAAAGGACGGGGCAGCCGAAGGCAGACGGAGGCAGGCGGAGGCAGCCAGAGGCAGCCAGAGGACGAAGGGAATCAGAAAGGGGCAAGGCGGGCAAGGGAAGCGTCGCTAAATCGTGCCTGGGCATTCTAATGGTTCTTCGACAGGGCGCCCCGCCCCGCCCTGCCTGCCTGGCCTGGGGCTCAGGGTGCAAGGGGTGGGCGGGGTCTTGGAGAGGGTCCCGCAGCGCAGCGCCACGCCCCGGGATGAAATTCCCCGATATTAGAGATGCCGGCTGAGAGTTCGTAATTGAAAAGACGGAGCGATGTGAAAAGGAGGACGAGAAAGCAGAGCGGCAGGGTGGGGCTATTGGCATGCTTTGGTAGTCATCAGTGGCGGTGACGATGCCAAAAGAGGGGAACAAGCCCAACGTGTCAACAAGTTTTATGAAAACGTTTTGGGACGGCCTCTGCTGGTACAGCGAAGCATTGCAAAGCATGGCAAAGCGTGTGGCCTGATGGGGGCGCGCGGCGGCACGGCGTTTGCGCAGTGTACATTGTACAATACTTAGTTGATTGCTAAGTTGGATGCGGCATTGTTGGCACGGCGCACGCAAACTCTATCCTGGGATTAATCAAAAGTTGGATCCGCAACGGACTCACCCTGCTCGCGATTCAAAAACGTTTGCCGGTTGATTTAATGAGGAATGCACGGTGACATTGTGCGTAGTTCTCGCTACGGACCTATCCCATCCGCCCCCCAGTCCGTCCCCTGGCGCGGCCGGCGATGGTGCTGTAAGCTGTTGAAGCGTGAACAACTCCTCTACATCAACAACAAAAACAATGCCGCGGAACAACCAGAAAACAAAGGCCCGGATCCATAGTGGTTGCGTTCAAAGTTCCCCCGTTTTCTTTTCTCTCTTTCTTGTCCTCCCCGCTAGGCAAGTGCGCGGCGATGGGCACGCAAGACCTTCAAGTCACCATCATGCGTCGCTTTTTTATCCAGACTGGACCAGACCTTGGCGTTGTCACTTTGTCTCTCTTTTCCTTTTGCCTTGTTTTCCGTGTTGCCAACTAACTTGTTTGCAGGGTGGATTGTTGTTGGCCTAGCGAAAAGGGAATTCTCTTGCTCGGTATGCTTGACTGCGAGCCTTGATTCACGTAAGGCGGGGCGGGGCGAGGCATAGTGGGGCACTCAGAGTAGGAAGGAACATACATCACGCGTGGCGGGTACAGTCGCCCACTGGGCCACGCCCTCAAAGTGTGCAGGAAAATGGCGGAAACAACACGAATCCTTGCAATGGCACCGAGGTAGAAGGCTGTCTGACAAATGCTTGGCTCTAATCTATGTTTTCTTGCAGCTAGCAGGCGGAGGCCGGCGGGGGTGATTCGTGTCAAATGCAATAAACATGTTTGTCTTGGCTCACGTTATCGAATCAAAGAAAACAGCAGAATCACGCAAAAGCTTAAAAACGATGCAAAAAGACCGTATCGACACGAAAGCAGATCTTTCAAAGTAGATCAATAGTAGTTCACTTCATTTGGACTGCTTCGAAGAACTAGCTTCTTCACAAAATCCAACTTTACTATATTTTTCACTATCATGGTTCTAAAAGTCACGCTTTGGCAAATTCAATAATGATTCGCAACAATGAAAAAAGTAAATAATTGACAACATTTTTGGAATTAGACTTGATGAAAATCCGTACGTAGTAGCGCCGCGGTTTTTTTTCAAGCAGTTAACAAGACGCACTTAAAAGACTTTTCTAACTCTACTGTATGTTTATAGTTGCTTGTGGCGGGCAGCCGTAAGTCCTCTTAAAACTTTATATTTTAGAATAAATTCAAGACAGTTGACTAGGCCACAACTGTGCCAATGGAGAGGGACGGCCGTGCCAGTAGAGTTTAGAAAGGGGTCGGTGATACGCTGGGGTTTTATTTCATTAATTTTGAGACAACGATGCTGCATTATGTGGGTGTCCCTGGTACCTTCCAATCACCATTCAGGAGAGAAGTACGTCCTCAAAATCCTCGTCGTATAAAGAAGCCTTACCTTGTACGCTTTCCTCATTTCCTTTCCTTCCTGTTTTCCTGACTTTCCACTTCTTTTTTTATCATTTCATTCTGTCACTTGAGTTGAGTTGAGACGCGTACCAAGTGATGCACATTATTCGTGCTGGGCACGCAAAGCAGAAACAGAAGGCCCTGACAAAGGCAAAGCTAGACTGTTACGTAACTCATCTCAACATGCATAAAAGTCTTTTCTGCTCTTCACAACGTATTTGTTTGTTTTGGGGCAAACCCCTCTAGATGGCCCAGCTATCGTGCGAGTAAACCTGTTTGTGCGAAGCATCGCCACCATAAGTGACATTAAGATGGTAAGTCTGGGTCTCAGGAAACCCAGGTTAGAAAAGTATCGGAGCCAAGATACGTCAAGCATACCACATAAATGACGCGTTTGTCAAGTTTTAGCGTCAAAATTTAAGGCTCCATTCAGTAAATTGGAAAACTACCACTGCACTAGTGGCTTCTCCAACCCTTCCCACGTCGCTGCTTGAATCTTTTTTTTACGTTTGAAAAAGACCGACCAACTTATAATTAACAAATAAAAGCACTAAAATAAGCATTCGGAATCGATAAGGTGACCTCTTGCTCACCAATAGAAAAGTGCTTTCGCGGTTGATGTCGCGATCAGAGGCATAAGAGGGTGGCTAAGCAGCCTTTATTGAAGATACGTCGCTTGCATGAGGCGATTCAGCGTGCATGGCGCATGAATGCATTCAGTCACGAGGTGGATGACCTCTTAATTATCGTGCCGTTTTTAAAACAACATAAATCATACGTTTCGGCATTGGGGATGATCAACGGCCCTAGAATTACTGCATGTGTAGAGGTAGACTTCAAGTAAGACTTGTAACATACTTTGGTTGTCAAGATACGGTCCATTCTTGGAACTTTTTCATAGCGGTGATGTGGATGGGTTGGAGCGCCTCTTTGTACTCGGACTAAGAATAGAAATTGTTCTAAAAGCAACATAGTTAAAGTTCGTCTCGTGGGCCGTATAGGTAAGATTCGTTGACCTTGTTATGCCTAGCACTGTACGCTCTAGTGACTAAAGATTAGAGTGAAATGCTTTCTGTTATTTTATGATCCTTTCCTTTCTCCTCCTATCAAACCTCCACGTTTCTTTTATTTTATGATTTCTGTCTCATTGTCTCTTTCTTACTCTTGCTATATCGTCGCCAGTTGCTTTTACACGCTCGGGTAAAGTCAGTTAAAAAACTACCACAATGTTTCAAAAATGTACGAAAACAATCAAGTTAATGTTTAATTTAAAATAATTACCCCGTATTAACATACATTTAATTAATTTGGTTAATGTTGGACTGCATGTTGCAAAATAGCTTTAAATAGTTACAGTTTCTGAAAATGGCGACTCTATCCTTGACCTCAGCTTCCTTCTCTTCTTCTTACTACTTCTCCTCCGAACAAAATCAAAGGACTTTACACCAACTCAGTGGGGTTCAGGTGAAATTTCTTTTAATCTTAGCAGCATCTTGGATGCTTCAATTTGTAGGTTTAGTGCATCTGGACGGTGTATTGGCGCAAGGCGCTGTAGGGTGAAAGGCTCCAAGAGTCAGGGTGTGACAGCCACACCCCCATTCTCAGAGACTCGAGTTGGGTCTCACGAGCTCTGTCACGCTTTAGGTGCATTTGGTTTTGTTGCGTTTGGTTCTCTGGCACGGCATCACATTCCAAATAACCCATTTTGACTACATAAGCAACATTGGTGAAATTATTGGAGGCAGAAAACCGGCAAGCAGCATTGTAGTTGTGTAGGCAACGGCCATTCTTAGATAGGCATGTGCCTTTGGATCTCACAGCTTTGTCAATCGCACATGTTTTATAGTCTTTCAGATTCAGCCCTGCAGTATGTGTGCACAGACTAACTTTACGGAATGTCATGATGTGTTGGAATCGGATTACAGCTTAAGCGTAGGCGTTTCCTTGAGCTATCTTTCGCGTGACTCAGATCGATTAGGAAAGAAATGAACATGGACTTCCTTTGTTTTGGCCCTTGAAGTGTACAAACAACATCAATGTGTTCAAATTGTTCAGGTGATAGCGTAAAAAACTTTAATTTGATTGGAATAATAAAGCAAATAAATCGCATAGTATTTTTAAAATGCATGATTTGTGTGACTTAAAAGCAGAACGAAGCAGATGAATCTGTTGATGGTATAGTGTGATGGAACCAACTCGTACTGCTTTATCTACTTTCAGCAGGCTAAAATTTGTACTTCTCCGTTCAGTCACTACATAAGCAACGGTGCTGCCATCTATACATTTGTTTTCGTGAACTTGAACCACGTAGAAACAAGTGGCGGTTATCGAACAGACGCAATAATCAGAACTTTTCTTTCTCGGCTTAGATGGGCCCGCGATAGTGGTTGTCAACATATTTGTAAGAAGTATCTCAAAAATTGATGACGTGACGATGGTAAGTGGTTCTGGCGGAACTCAAATCCATTGCTAGTCGGTAGACGTTGGTCATTGTAAGGCGAATTCATAGAACGTGTATCCTTTTCTTCTTTGCTATTGAATACAATCCTCGGCCCTCCAGACCTGTAACAACAGCTCAGCTCTAACTAACCGTGTCTTTTGGCACCAGCGTGCTTCAGCCTTTTCTTCTACTTTCGCTGGATTTAAGTCCGCTCGCTCTAAAATTAAATAGAAACTAAATTGGTTAGTGCTTACAGTTAGCAAAAAAAAAAAGTAAATTGCTTTACATTTTAAACAAATTCTTCCGCCCTCCAGCTTTTTAGACTGTTTACTGGCAGAAAAGCCCTGAACGCTTTTCGAAAAATCAGGCATGCTCCGTAGCATGAAAATATGCTAAAAATTTTCTTTGAAGGCGAACACGCATCTAGAGTGTGTGCATTCGCAGGAGATGGGAGAGTCTTATTAGGCTATTCATCGTTTAATGTTTACAAAGCTTTAAACGTCCTTTTTATACAGCGGTATGGGCGGAAGGCAGATAAGGATGTCGTAACAAAAAATATGTTTAGCTATCAGATTTACACAATTGTCACTTTCGTAATTAGTTTTAGTTTTAAATTTCACCATGCAATGTAGACCTTTACGCGCTCAAGGTAAAGTGCGCCATGCCACGGCGAACTGCAGGTAGAAATATTGAGCTTGGTGTTGTGGAACTCAAGTTGACTGTAGATTGACACCGTTCCGTGATTAACTCCAAATGGCTGAGCATGCTGCCACTTTGTTCACGTGCATCTTGCTTTTATACACTACTTGTTTTTGTATGTAAGCACAACAGGGAACGTCGAGGAGGAAGGAGAACATCCAGGGCTGAACATGACAAAGTGACAGCTTTAAGGGCATCCCGTCACTAAACCAAATATACTTAAGCTTAAATTTAAAATACAAATAAAAAAACCTTGTAAAGCTCAATGAACTTAATAAAATTCTTTTCAAAAATTAAAATTGTAACAGCACCGTGCGAGCCTATTTTGCACAAAAGTTTCTAAACATCACCTCCAAAAATATATTTGCTGATGAGGGTGGCGCTAAAAAGATTATTCTTCATAAAAGACTACACTTTGAACTGTGTATATTGAGAAAGAAGTGTTAGAGAATATGTCTCCTGCAGCGTAGGCATGCCTTTGAGGTTTCATGTGGTGGGTGTTTGTGTCACTGATAGGCATTTTTGAGGAGTGTAGATTTCCCAGCAATCATATGTGAATTGACGTGCACGACATTTAGAATTTTAGAAACCGGTTCATTGTTATCTCAAACTGATATGTCTGAATGCCCCTGATGGTTACACAAGCACCTGCATGAGTATCGACTTTCAGCACAAAGAGCCTCCTGAGAACCAATCGCGTATGATTCTACATTTGTTAATGTGTTTCTAACTCAAATGTCTTTGTGATTTTTGTGTAGAAGAACTCCATTCCAGACCCACCTTCCCATTATGTATTGTTTTGAGTTCAACGTCGATGCAAATGTTTTGGAGTCTACGACACCCCACGTTAATGTTGATGTCTCAATAAGTGCAAATTAGCACGAGTCCATAAACGCCAAAGACAAGAACTAATCAACCCTTCTCACGCTTTTAAACGTTTCACTAAATGAGTTCTTTCTTTTCGCCCGAGTAGAAGCGACGGTAGTAAACGTGAACATCTTTCTGCGATCTATCAGCAAAATAGACGATTATAAAATGGTGAGTCGAGCTCCACGCAAGACGTTAATCTACATTTCCCCACTAATGCATTATTGTTTCCTCTACCACCGCGGGTGTACGTTATAAAATAAATTTAAAACTATACAAACCACGACAGTCTTATGTACTTTTTATAAGGTTGGTTTTAGCTATAAAGCTAAGATAAATTAAAATCAATCTCTCAATGACAGCGTTTGTTAATACTTGCATCTGCGGTTGGCTGCTGGAAACGTAAATAACACTGCAAAAAATTAAAGCCCATTGTTCTTTTTTACTTGTAACACTGTGTGCTTCCAAGTTTAATAATCACATAACGCTTCAAACTGTTTAATTACACATCCAGCCACTTCCTACGGTCATATGCTTCAAACTGCATTATTTCTATATTCTCACAATCCATGTGAACTTTTGCATTCACCAAATGCCATCAACATTCTTGCACATTCAACCTGCTAAAGAAGGAACTTCAAACATGGCATAACTATGTTTTAAATTGGCAATGAAAACACCTACAAAATTATGGTGTCAAAATGTAGTTCACCGTGAAGGAGAAATTTGGGACATCCAAAATTTTTCCTGCTGCAGTGGGTGTTAATTTTTTCGATCATTCAATCTACGTCGAATCAATGTGGCATCGGGTTATGCGTGCATGGAGTGTTTGAATTACCCTTAAACATTGTCTCCTTTGTACATACTTCCCACTGAAAATTAATTGCTACATTTCTATTGTGTGTGCTTCGCAAATTAAAAAGTGTCCCAGAAATATGTGTCACCTTTTTTCTTGCTTAAACGCCAAGTAAAACGAAGGAACGACAATCGTTTAATTTGGAGGGGGAGATATTTAAAAGTGTACGCCCATAAACTTAAATACTTTCAGGATAGAAGAAGAGATAATACACAAAAGGAACGCCATATTTTATTGAGTAGCCAATATTATTCGACACACTACTGGTTCGTCGCACAGATAAAAATATTAAGACTTGATGAGTCGCTAAGACTACCATCGATTGCATTGGATGGCGAGTGACAGTTGGTATTGATCTCTACAACTACACTCAACCAGCAGTAATTGCACGTCGGTGGATTGCATGAAATGATAGACAATAATAGTATGTGGTTTGGTCTACAAAAGCATGTTGAGTTGAGGTGATATGCTCTGCGATTTTTAACGCACATTACTTAAAAAACATGTCGATGAAAAGAGCATATTTCAACAGATTTGCTCAGTGACCACACCAAAGCCTCTTGCACTGTATGATGCACGTGCATGAGACGCAAGACATTCTAACGCGAGAAAAGGTAAGAATTGACACCACCCAACACAGCTAGTGTTATTTTCTTTTGCAACCAACGTATCTGGTGTTCTTTTACTTTCGTGTCTTGTTTATATACAACCTGAGCCAACTTTGTTTCTGTTGACTGGAGAGGCGTAAGAAGTGAGTACAAGGCTTTGAGTGGTTTTGACGTTTCCTGTTTGTGTGTGTGTGCTCGCGTGTGTGTTCTTTTTACTACTGGTCGGACATATGTATCCGGATAGCGTAGCTAATAAAAGCCTTCATGATTTCTTCACTTTGCTTTCGTAAACAGTTTAATAAAATTATTCATTCTTAAATGGTTTAATTTGACCATTACATTATCGTTCGTAGTAAAATTGAGTTCAAATTTGGTTTTTTAAAATTAAAAGAAAAGAGTACAAAAAAATTGCCACTGTTCATGTTTTCTATCTTTTCATATAATACGGTTCATTGCAGGAATACAGCGTCCAGTTAACATTCCGTGAGCAGTGGCTGGATGAGCGACTCAAGTTCAATGATTTCGGAGGTGAGTCAGAGGGACGGAAGGGGCAGTGGGGCCCTGCAGAAGCATGGCGAATGATAGAGCAAATACTGCAGCTGAGCCATTGCTGCGAGAATCCAAAAAGTGCTGTTCATCCCGACTGACATCTGGTGACTAAGCAGCGTGGAGATACGGGGGGGGGGGCAGTAATGCCGCAGCCAGTGCGTGCATTGTTAGGCAGGCATTGTCAAATCGCGTCCCCCGACGCCCAGGACCGGGGCGCCAACTGTCCAGCGCTGTTCCAGCCGGACCGCAGTGCAACCGGAGTTTGACAGTGCGGAACGCGCTCAGGGGTCGGGAGGGGGAGGGGCATTGCGCCATAAAGCACCATTCGGTGGCGACCTTGCCGACGCAGCAATTGAATCCTCTAACAGCATGGCCTTCGTCTCGCAGGGAAAATAAAGTACCTGACTCTGACGGACGCCGCCAGGGTGTGGATGCCGGACTTGTTCTTCTCCAACGAGAAGGAGGGCCACTTCCACAACATCATCATGCCCAACGTCTACATCCGCATCTTCCCGTACGGCTCCGTCCTCTACAGTATCCGGTGAGTGAGGTGGGGAAATGATCGGCCGGTACATCCATCCCGGGCCGTCCGGGCGGGGGCTCTGGGACGCGCGGCAGCTGGCTGTCGTGTAGTCGTCACCGCGTCACCGCGGACGGGGATGGATGTCGCCTCGTCCGGAGGCAGGCAGATGGAGGCCGGTGGAGGCGGCCGAAACTTCGACCTCTAGAGTCGCTAAATAGGACACGAACCGAACGTGTGACCCCATCAATGAATTCCTCGTTCAGAGAGCAATTCACTGGTGGAGTGACACGTTTGGTCGCGACTCTGGAGCTCAAAACGCGCCTGAAGTTTTGGCCGCGTCCACGGGCAGGGGCGAGGTAGGCAGGCCGCGGCGGCCGCGTGCTCGGCGGGACTGCCTACCCGGGACTCCGCGGGCGCTATAGGCCGCGCAAGGCCGCACCACCGCGGGCGTGCCCTTGCCGCTGGAGTGGAGACATTCTGCTTCGGTGGTCAGGTCAGGTCGGTCGTACACTCTTTGTCCGACAGTGGCGGGGCGGGGGAATGCCAATGGGAAAAGGGGGGGGGGAGCAGAGGGAGCTAGCCACAAGGCGCGGTGCGGCGCGGTGCGGCACTCACGAACGCAACGGCCAGGCCAGGCACGGCCAGGCACGGCCAGGCAGCGACGGAAGGGGCGGCCTGAATAATTGACCGGCGAGCGAGTGTGCCACTCCAGGCTCCTCTCCTCACCTTTGGGCCATGCTCTCCCTCGCACGCACACACACGTACACGAGCGCGGCGCTCACGCAAGCTGGCGACCGTTTTTCTTGAGGCGTACTAGCCGCGCACGTACACCCGCGTCAAAAAGTTATGGCACCAAGTACACTGCGCTGCACGCACGCGGCGACCTACTCCGACGGGTTGCGGTGAAGCGGCGGCATGGCCGAAAAAAAACTAACAGACTATGTTCTCTGTTTCAGCATTTCGCTAACGTTATCCTGCCCGATGAACCTCAAGCTGTACCCGCTCGACAGACAAGTGTGTTCTCTGCGGATGGCCAGCTGTGAGTTAACGTATCCATTTCAGTATTCCGTGACTTTACGATTCGGGGTCCATAATTTGATTGTTGTGTTTCAGACGGCTGGACCACAAACGACTTGGTGTTCCTGTGGAAGGACGGCGACCCCGTGCAGGTCGTCAAGAACCTACACCTACCACGCTTCACCCTCGAGAAGTTTCTCACAGACTATTGTAACTCAAAGACTAACACAGGTGCGTAGTCCCGTCACACCTCGACACGAGATGGCGGAAATGGAGCCGGAACCGTGGATCTGGGCACAGCATGAATACGTCGGTTTCCGTGTTCGCAGGAGAGTACAGCTGTCTCAAGGTGGACCTCCTCTTCAAACGAGAGTTCTCGTACTACCTCATCCAGATCTACATTCCCTGCTGCATGTTGGTCATCGTGTCCTGGGTGTCCTTCTGGCTGGACCAAAGTGCTGTTCCGGCGCGCGTCTCCCTGGGCGTCACCACCCTGCTCACCATGGCCACGCAGACCTCAGGTACGACCGCCCCGCCCCGCACCGAGGCGCTTTCTCGGCAGTAGAAGGGAAGTGCCGGAGCGACGCCCAGCGACTTGGCTCGGCCCGCCGGCAGCGGAGCGAGAACAGCGAGAACCAGGCGACTTTTCCTTGTTTCCCACGAACGCTCTGCCAAATAGCTACAGCCCTTCAGCCCTCGCTTCGGCTAGCGGCCCTACAGGGCCTGGAGGGCCTGCAGGGCCCTGAGCCGCTATCCGACCCCCTGATCCCTTATCCCTTCACTTCTCGGCGCGAAACGTGAAAACTTTGAGCACGGCTCGCTTGGCCGTAAAGAACCGGCAACCTACGCGTGCACGGACCGCCGGCCCGCCCAGAGGCGGCGGCCAGGGCCCCAGGGGCGGCGGCGCGCAGTTTTAAGGGGGCACACCAGTGAAAATCGTCGAATTTTGGCTTTCTTTTTTATTTCATCTTATTTTTCTTCTATTTATCCCGAGTCGAACGCCGCAAACCCCACCCCTAAATTCCAATAACTTTGGGTCGTGCACATTTTTTAAGTTGCTAAAAAGGTTATTATATTTGCATATTTTAGACCAATTGTTAACGTTTAGGTTTTCCACTTAAAGTTCAATTACAAAACCCTTGAACCACCCAAACGCAGTCGTAAAAAGGAACATTTTGGCGCAAACCGAACTAAAATACGTGAAAAGGCGCATTTATAATCGGCAAAAAACACGTCAAATCTATGTTTCTACTTAAAGGGCTTTTACTCAAAACACCCTTTTTGTACCTTTGTGCCACTCTCACGGGCGCAAAAATTGAGATAATTCAATGCGGTTTGCGGCAAAATGTTTGTTAAACTTGCGTCTATGGTCTGAACCTCGGAAATGGCCATCCCATAAATAGAACGTAAGCAGCAGCCATGAAAGCGCGAAAAAATTGGTTAAAAAAATTGTTTCTATTTTTGCCTTCTGAAATAACAAATTCAAAATTATTCTTTTAGCATGCCCGTGGTTCAGACCATAGCCACATGTGTCCTGGTGAGAAATTTTCAAATCCCGTGCTCGAGGCTCAATCCAGAGAGGCGGAATCGTGGCAGGAGTGAAGCAAGGTCGCAGAAAAACGAAGTGCACTGGCGCTCCGTCTTGCCATCTCCACCCCACCCTCCCATACTCATATTTCTTTCTTTGATATAATTTGAGCCAGAATAAATATCATCGAATACATTGGTTACTTTTCCCAGAATGATCGATTTTCGAAACCTCTGCATTTTCACTGGTGTGCCCCCTTAAGAGTGAACTTGTTGGTAGTACTGCAATATGTCAGAGCGCGAGTGCTTGCGGCCGAAGCCCCCTGCGCTGCGGTGGACCACCGCGCCACCGCGCCACTCCGAGGCGTCACATATATTCCCCCAGGGCCTCTCTCGAGTGCTGACCCACCGCCACGCCCGCCCGCCCGCCCGTCTGAGGTTTCGCGTTCGCGGGGAAAGGGGGCAAGGGGGAGGGGGGGGGGGTGAAGAAAGCGACCCACTTGTGTTTGAACCCACGACCGCTGCGGTCCAGCGCGGTCCGCCGGGTGAGGGGTCATCATTCGAGGTGGACGTGTGTGCCCTCCGCGACCTCGCAGCCTCGCAGGAGAGAGGCAGGCAGGGACGTACACTGTTCAAATAAAATAAGAGAAGAAAGCAAAAGTATGCGTAGGTCCGTTTGAAGAGGCGTTCACCCAATGAAATAAAGCACTTACAGCTCGTTTCCTTAAAAAAAAAAACGCGCTAAAACGCGATGAATTTGAGTACGCCCTCCCCTTGGCCTTTCCTAACTGCAACGCGCGCTCTGCTCGGCTCCGCAGGTATCAACGCCTCGCTGCCGCCCGTGTCCTACACCAAGGCCATCGACGTGTGGACGGGCGTGTGCCTCACCTTCGTGTTCGGCGCGCTGCTCGAGTTCGCCCTCGTCAACTACGCGTCGCGCTCCGACATGCACCGCGAGAACATGAAGAAGCAGCGCGCCGCCTGCGAGGCGCTGGACCACCCAGACCCCAGCGACCTCATGGAGGACGGCAACACCACCTTCCCGATGGTAAGAACGACAAGAAACAACAACAAACAACAACAACAACAACGAACAACAACAAACAACAGCAAACAACAAAAAACAACAAAAACAAACAAACAAAAACAAACAAACAAAAACAACAAACAACAACAACAACAAACAACAACAACAACAAACAACAAACAACAACAAACAACTACAAACAACAACAAACAACTACAAACAACAACAAACAACTACAAACAACAACAAACAAATACAAACAACAACAACAAACAACAACAAACAACAAAAGAGATGACTCCGAGACTCACCAACGCCGCAGAATCGTTTCGTCGCGCTGGTCCTGTCGCACTGATGGCGGGGTGCGAGAGAGGCGGAGCGACGAGACGCTGCTTTCTCGCCTGACGCGCCGCCGCGTCCCCAAGCAAAGGCGAGCCAGGCCGAGCCAGGCGAACAAGGCCGGGGCAATCAGGGCCTGGATTACAAATTACAATACGCTAATGAGAACGAGACCCAACGCTCGCGACGCCGCGGCGCTCCGTGACAGACTGTGACCTCCAGCGCGTCGTTGATTGAATAACAGAAGTAATCAAAGCCTCAAAACGCGAACGAGTCACGTTAGGTCGCCGACTAATCTTGAAAATTGCCTCTTTCATCATCGCTTTCCAAGTTGTTAAACAAATGAGTGCAAACAATTTGAAGAACAAGAGGGACGTGGCGGGGAGTGTGGAGTCGGCGCGCGGCGGCGACCACTCCCGAGAGTGGGAGGTCTCTCTCTCTCTCTCTCTCTCTCTCTCTCTCTCTCTCTCTCTCTCTCTCTCTCTCTCTCTCTCTCTCGCACTCATGGGGCGCTCCGTACCGGTGCGAGGGAGATAAACCGACGGCCGCTCTTCCTGTTGCAGGTGCGGCAGTGCGAGATCCACATGCAGCAGAGCCGCCCCAACTGCTGCAAGACGTGGCTGTCCAAGTTCCCGACGCGCTCCAAGCGCATCGACGTCATCTCGCGCATCACGTTCCCGCTCGTGTTCGCGCTGTTCAACCTCATCTACTGGTCCACGTACCTGTTCCGCGAGGAGACGGAGGACTCGTAAGCCTCCGCTTCACGCCGCTCCACGCCGCTCCACTCGGCAGGGGATCTGGCGAGGCCGAGGCCGTCACTACATCGAGTGTCGCCGCAAAGCGATCCCTCCGTTCCCAACCAAAGCGAGTGCACACTGTGAACCGTGTCCGTGTGTGCCTGTGTGCATGTGAGTGTGTCTGAGTGTGTGCCTGTGTGCGTGTTGGCGACACGGGGGCTCCCAATCTGCTCACTTGTTTAGCCAAACGACTATTTTGTCCGAGGAGAGCCCTCTCAGTCGCCGAACAAAAAAAAAACAAAACAAAAAGAAACAGAAAACAAAAAAAAAAGAAAGGACGAGATCTGTGATCATATTTTTTACTCTAAGTCGTTCGTCGCGCTGGAAACTCGATAGTGACGGACACTACAGTGTTGCCATGTGTATAGTTAATCGTCCTCGTAATTTAAGGTGGCCGCGAGCCGCGAGCGTCACACAGGTGCTGCGGCGACCGCGTTCCTTCCAAGGCCTCGTGGGACCTCGCGGGACGTTTCGGACGCTCCACTGCAAGGCCTGGAGTCCGCGGACGTCTCGTCTCCACGCTCCAGGACTTCCAAGGACGCGCCAGCAGTCCGTCGCGGCGCCGCAGGACACGCGGCATTATACAGACTATGGTCAACTAGCTCTAAGTATTCCATTTGTACAAAGACGGCTCAAACTACGTTAGGGTAATTGTTTAACTGTTTGTGGACGTGGTAGGGACGGCAGCAGCCGGGCTAGCCCACGCCACGTGAGGCCCTGGATGAGTACCTGGCCGTCTATGTTGTAGTGTTTGTATACGGTGTCTCATCTCTCATACGTTGTGTAAATACGCCACAGTTTGTGTTTAGAATTCTATGTGTATGTGCGTGAGTGTTCCTACCCAAAGAAGCAAAGGGTTGTGCGACTACCTTCTGCGTTACAAATCCACGTAGCTTTGTCAAGAAAAAGACACGCAACGATTCCATTCCAGTCCTCCCAGGCGGTGAATGGATGGTCTAGAAGGGGCAGGGCAGGCAGGGCAGGCAGGGCTCGAGCGCAGTCCGCAGTGCGTGGGTGCGATGCCACTCCCAGGTCCCGGGGGTGCCCCGAGGGGTGCCCCGAGGGGTGCCCCGTCGCGACGGGTGCCCTGGACGTCAACATGAGGGAGGCGCCGCCTAGTCGCGTGACCCGGTTCGCCATTTTGAGGAGGTTCAGATCTTGAAAATGTTTCCCCCGGAATCGAGCCGAGGTAGAACGAGGCAGGCACGGGCACTGCCCGTCGGGCAGACTGGGCAGACGGTCCCTGGCCTTTCACGACACGCACACCTCCTCGCCACGGGGCTCGGCCGCGCCGCCACGCCACTGGGAGCTCGGCACGGACGGCACGGCGGGCCCGCCGGGGGAAGTCCACCCCTGCCAAGTGCGTCGCGGCCATCGGACTGCAAGTTGTGATGCCGCCAGTACTTCCCGACTGTAAATATGTGTTCTCTCCTCAAAATAATAATAATTATAATTAATCGTATTACTATGGTACTTACTACCATCTCCTTGAACGCTTACAACCAACAAAAGCAGGCTGCGAGCGAAGCCAGCCGCTCATCCAATTTCATTCCCTTGCGCAAGTACCCCCCGTCCCAGCGACTGCGGTCACACGGAACTGGGTGAGAAAGAACGGTGGAATTTTTGTTTGGGGAAAACCAATGTCGCGTCAAGAAACCAAGGAACACTGAAACTGTCAACAGGATTTGGATTTGTTCTACCCACCACCTGGACTTGCTTTTGCCATGCTGGTTGTGAAACTGGTTGTAGGACCAATAACTTTCTCTCCCAACGGACCCTTTTAAACAAAACATGGTTTAGAGTGTGATTAATCTCACTGTATTTTAGTTCGATTGTATATGCTCTTTTCTTTTTATTCAAGCCAAAGCTTTGTGTTCTGGTGTTGTCATTTCTCCCCGACTGTCAAATAGCTTAGATCTTAAAGAATTGTCATGAAAATCTTCTCTACACTTTTGACGGGGAATGGATAATATTGAAGAATTATAAAATGTCAAACCTACCTCATTTGCATGTCTAACCAGACTACTACCATAATTGTCTGTAGTTTAGCTCATAACAGTATCACAACTTCACATATCTCAAGATAAATCATTCAAAAATAGGGGAGAAAATAACATCTACAATAGCTCAGGAAGGACTTTATGGAAGTTGGATCTTGTGAAATTTGGAACAAGCAACTAAAGCTTTCACTGCTGGCAAAGGATACATACAAACAGTGCCTGTCACATTTATTGTTAAGTCTTCAAGACCATTGGTACAAAGCTATTGAGGAGTTGACACTACTCATGACCTTCCAAACACCTCCAACGTTGTGGTATTCTGTATACTTCTACTATGGTTGTTTCTTTGCCTCTTGTGCGGGATTGATGAAAATATCATCAGACTTACTAACATAGGCCAAATGCTACTGTTTAGGAAGTACTAGACATGAAATAAGTGTATAGAGAGAAAAGAATGTACATTTTATTTAGTTTAAACTTAATGTGTAGAATCAAAACCAAAAAAGAAAAAAATACTTGGAAGATGAAATATTGACCTTTTAAAACCAAGACCTAAAAAAGAGAACATTCATCCACAGTTCTGAGTTTGGTATAGTGGTGTAACACCTGTTATTTTAAAAGCAAAACTAAATCCGATACAATTAAAGCTATTGCTTGGCATTGTGTATAGAAAAACTGTGGTTCTCTGATGCTTCCTACTTGATATTGAACATAAATGAAATCAGTGGAACATGGCATAACACTATAAAGTCAATTAATCCACATGGTAATGTAAATACAAAAAAAATAATTCTGAATGTTACCCTTACCTTGCTCACCTAACAAAGATTCCACACATGTGTTTGAATGTAAATACCTTAAATTAAGGGACTGCAGTTATAATGTAAAACCTTAGTTCCATCTATAGCCTTTCACTTACATGAAATGTTCCCCTCAAAGCAACTGTTGGTAACTTCTTAAATAGAATTTTTAATATCCTATGTTTTATTATATTCTTTCATTCCATTTGTTTTTCCTTTGACATATTCGTCCATTTGAAAAAAAAAAAATCAAATCATATAAGAGACTTTATGCACAAGGAATCTGATGGAATCAATACTTGGAATAAAATGTTAAGTGGAAATTGCGAAATGACTTTTGACTTTGCACTTCACGAAATCTGAAATAATCTTAATTCACTTGTCACAATGATTCCCTCGTCTTCCAAAACAGTTGGCCTTATTCTAACTTTCACTTTCTTTTCCATAAACAGTATTAGCTCTGAAGTGTTGTGAAATACAGAATTGTGTTGAAGTAACTTATTTTAGGATTGCTAGGGGGCTGTGAGAAAAAGTTTCTTTCCAACAAGGTAACGCTGGGTAAGGCAGGCCAAAAGTGGCAAAGAGGGCAGAATCTAATACTGGTTATCGGATACTATTTTTTATAAAAGCTAAAAGTTAAAAAAAAAAAGACTTCAAGTTTAAGTACTAAAGAAAGCCACTGATCTTCTTTCTGTTTGATTTGATTTTTACCAATATTGCTTACAAGACTGTGGCTACCCAACCACATAACCACAAGAATACATCATGATTAGAAGTACAAATTGCATACAATTGCATACAAAAGCCAAAATATATCAGGTTTAACACTGGCTTCTCTTGGTAAGAAGCATCAGCCGAACAAACTCAGCAAAGGTGTAGCAAATTTGGAATCCCAAGCATGGCATACTCTAGATTGACATGTACTGTATCATTTTGTACATATGAAATAAAAGAATTTACTGCATTACACGTGTCAAGAATTATTGAAAACAAATAGTTTCATCCTTATTCCTCCCACTGAAGAGCTTACAATGTTGTCATTGTGACAGCAAAATAAATACAATTATAATTTGAGACAAAAACAAAAAATGAAAAAATGAGAAAACAAATGATACATATTAGATGTATAGCACCATTTATAGCATGATTTACAAAATGATTATACTTTCTGTTGTACAAAAGAACGAAGTCTCAAGAAGTTCAGTCAGATTCTGTGACGATCAAAGCTTAGAATGTAGACAAAAGAAGACAAGAAACAAAATACAAATAAAAACAATGAATGCTGCCTCATGTCTTTTTTTTTCCTTGTTCTTATCTGATCAAGCAAAAATAGGAATATCTAGATTGAAAATCACATTAATTAAATCAATGTCATTAGCAGTCTTGAACAAGTTACAAATTTGAAACTAACGCTAAAACATATCATCATGGCTCATATCTGGAATGTACTGAAGGCCTCTCTCCTTCAGTGCCTTTGCAAGAAGCTTCTCTTGATCCTGCTTTGTGTCTTGTTCCTTCCGCTGGGCTTCAAGAATGTCATCGACAGATACTTCCTGCAAAGGCAGCTTATCTTCTTTTTCTTGATCCTGTAAAGGCAAGAATAAGTCAATGAATTGAAGTCACAATCAATCACTTGAAAATGCTATGGAAGATGAATCTTTTCTTACTATTTCACCAAGAAGAACAACATTTTCACCTCGAACAATGAATACACCTCTAGGAATATCTCCATACTCTTTACCAACATGTATTCTTTCAATTGTACGGTGAAGTACAAGATTAGCAAACTGGTCGACACTTCTGAGGTAACCTATTAGGGTACGTCCATCTCGTAAGAGGACCATAAGTTTTTCTGGAAGAAACAAAACCTGTTGAGTTGGAACTAAAGCTGCATAGCAGTAGATATATCACTTTACACTTACTGTCAAGCTCTTCTATAAGAGTAGCAGTTCTGGGAGGAATTTCCAGTGTGATACGTTTATCCATGATATTAATACTGCAACAATAAAACAAAATAAATTGATTTATGGTGTGTAGAGCATAGCCAACCAAAGAGGAAATAAAAAACAAGTAAAAGATTGAAAAGAGAGGACACCGATGTCATCCCATAATGTAGGTTATGTCCATCAAAATAAAGAAATCATTTCAAGTCCACTATAAAAGCATTAAACAAGGAGATGCAGAAATATGTAGAAATGAACACAACATACTGTCTTCCCTGATTTCCGACTTACAATAAAAAGAGCCTGTTTGCTCTGCCCACAGGAATCTTGGCTGTTATATATCCTACTTACTTCGTCGATCAATGACAGTCGCTTCTCCGGAGTTGCAGAAATGTTCGTCACCGTTTCTAACCCTTGCCACTCAATTTTCTAAAAAGGTATTCTCACGTAAAGCCAAGAAACACAACAAGTAATGTTAGGTTAGTTTACCGGGAAGGCTGCTTTCCTCCCGTCTGCCCTTCCCTTCCCCCTCCCTTCGCCCTCCTCACCCCTCACCCTCGCCCACTCTGCTCAGGCGCGAGAATACAAATGGAACAAAAGGGGGTCAACTCATTCCGCTGAGATGCATCCATGCAGCCATAAAAAACTGGACAACAAAGTTGCGTTATCTAACTGACGAGGGATTCTGGTGAATCTTCCTTCGCATTATAGGGCGTGTTTTTCTGGGAAGGACGAGATAAGATATTTTTTCAGGTACCGGTAAGATAAGATCTTTGGAATAGTTACTTGTGACTTCGGCTGGAGGCCCGGTTCAAGAGTCCAACCAGAAATACAGTTTATGCGGATTCGATTGTAACGCCTGTGGATCGCAGGGTAGGCCACCGTCTCCACACCGCAGTGTTGAAGGACGATGGGCAGCCTACCTCACAGGCGCTCAGACGGACTCCTCCCAGGGCTCGACGGCCAGCTGAGAAGTAGACACCACCGGTACCAAACTGTCAAACCATGTGTGGAGAACCCCACTTTTGAAATGTGGAGGGGTGGCATTTAAGTCTGTGCACTTGAAAGTGCAGAAAACTGGGACAAAAGTGGCCAAAACTTGTGAATGTGGTGTATAAATCTGTTTGTGGCTCCACAGCTCACCAAAGTCATAAAACGTCTTTTAATGTTTGAAGGACAGGGAAAAATTTTAAATTTAGTGAAACTGCCCTTATTTTATTGATTGAAGTAGCAGAAAGTTTACAATTTGCTCTTTTGGGAGAGGGGATTGGTAGAATCTCAAGACAGCTTGGCATGGGCTTTCTGTTCAGTTTTCTTCATCAATTCTTCATTTTCAAGCTGCTCCAATGTTAAGAGTGACACTCCCATTTGATCCTCCTGCGTGAAGGGTTGAGCCATTTTCCGTAAAAACCTTTTGCACATCTATAGAAAGAAAGAGATTGATGAAGATGATAGGGAACAGAAATGGTTTGAAAAGCAGCAAATAAATTGGTTTGTTAGCACACACCTGAATGCATTCTTCAGTTGACAGATTGCAAAGGTTGTCTGACAGATACTCCTGTATCCACTTTGGTATTTTACTCCTCTTATCAGAGCGAGAGAATCTCTGACAGAGAAAATAACAATTGAAAATTACAATTTTTTTATTCTAATGTGAAAAGTTAAGATATGTTACACCAACCTTGTCGGCGAAAATCATAATTCCATAATCAGTTTTTCCTCTGAGGACACGACCTATACACTGGGCAGCATGTCTCATTGCATCAAATGTCAAAAAATCATTTTCTCTAATCTGAAAATAATAAAATTTATGTGATTAATGTAAACTTATAATTAAGTTATGGAAATAATAACGAAAGAATTTTCATAGTCTATATCTTACTTGGAATTGATCTCGTAAATATTCCAATCTAGCACGTAAGATTCTGGATTGAGTGTATACATAAGGGATTCCAAACATCAACACAGCTCGGCCCAAATGGTGATCAAAATCCACTCCCTCTGATACTTTTCCCCGAGCCACAGAGAGCAAAACAGCTCCCCTGCCAGTATCACATGCCTTTTACAAGGGGAAAAAAAAGATTAAAACAAACTACAATAAAGAATTCAGCAAATAGTTAAACATTGACTGTTGTCACCTTTATATAGTTTAGAAGAGCTAAACTTGTTTCAGCTGCGTCCTGTGTTTCAATGAAGAGTAATTTGTGTCGTTGGAGATTTGATATAACTCCTTGATCATACCATGCAGCCACAACAGACTCCAAATAAAGATAAGAGGTAAAAAAGCACACAACTCCATCAGGCACTACAGAGGCCACCTCAACAAGCAACTGCCCATAATTCCTCACAACTGCAACATCTTCTCTTGTCTCATAACGTGACGATATTGCTACCTGATCATTACCTTTAGACACAATCTGTAAATTAACCATTGTCAGAATGAGGTTCTATGAGAAACTGTGCTTCAAGTCAAGAATACAGAAATGACATACCATTGGCAGGAGACAAGGTCTTGCTAAAGTCATAGTAAAAGAGCTCATAATGACAGGATGAAAATCTAGGATTTTGGGGTACATATCAAGAGGAGACAAGGTACCAGATGTGATTATAACGCTTTGAAAACGTTCAAAGACTGGCTTTATAGCAATACTGGAATCTAAACAACTGAAAAAAAAGAAGATATGTTCAATAAACGAGTGCCAAATAAAATGATAACGAAAGACAAAAATTGATCAGATACCTGAAGTAAAGAATTGGGTTTGAGACTGTAGGGTTCTTATCATCAAATGGTTCCACAATAATTGAAAAACCCTTGGTATATGTAGATACTAAAGTTGCTAGATGTGTGATTAAAGTTAGAGGAGAGAAGTCTGTTAAATCGGAAACTTCAATTGTCCTTAGTAAAGATGAAAGCCGTTCAGCACAAAATCTGTTTCAACGGAAGATATCGTATTCAACAAGTGGTTTGAAGCAAACAATTAAAAATTGAGGAGGGATGAAAACATTCTGTCTGACCTCAGTGGCTTCCTTTGAATGCAAACTTTTTCAAGACAATCCTTAAGAAAGCCAGCAGATGATTCCTGGACTACATGTTGCACACGCAACCTTGTTTTCAGATATTCTACAAAACGTTTAAGGAAGCTGACAAAGTGTTCTGCAGTTCTAATGTTTCCAGGCACAGCCTCTGTTTCCCAAAATTTAAAGTAGTTTTAATATTTGTAAGGCAGCATAAGGTTGGACTCACTCATATTATGTATACTTCGATGTTACCTCTCAAAATTTCATTCGGCATAACAGGGTTTGCAAGGATTTCGTCTGTCTCTCGTTGCTCATTAGCTTGGCGCAATCCTTCCACCAGACGCTCGTATTCATTTTGGAGGCTACCTTCATCTGATTCACGCATCCTGTTAAGACAAAAGCAAAATATGATGGTGACTTTGGTCATGGTATCATATTGTCTTATGGTAACAAAATCTTTTTCAGTCATTTCTTACTCCTTAACTGATGCTTCAAGAAATTGAAGGTTTTGAACACTTTTGTCAATAATTCTCCTTGTGATTCGTACACTCATAGAATCAATGCACACATTATCTACGAAAAGAGCAAAAGAAATTGTACGGGAAATTAATTAAATAAACTTAAACATGGTGCCACTGTTTCAACCATAAGAAAAACTGTCTATTCATAGTTTACAAATAAAATTCAGGAATACAAAAATTTCATACAAAATTACCTATGTTGTGAGCTTCATCAAAAACAACAACAGCATTCCTTGAAAGCTCTTTGGATACAACTTCAGCAATCTTGGGATCAAGAAGATAGTGGTAACTGTACACCACAATTTGAGCATGAAGGATCTAGAACGAAAAGAAGGGGTTGTGTCACACATCATAAGTGAAAACAGACTTTATTTGTTGGAGATTTATTGGTCAGAGATTGAGTACCGTCTGCCTTGCTATGAAGTAAGGACACCATCCCATTTTTTGGCCATATGCTTTCAGATCATCTAGATTGTAAACACCAGGAGGAACAGTTCCTTCTCGACCTTCAATATCGTAGCTTTCGAAGAACGAGCAGACAGGAACCGAGTCATCAGACTTATGCCGCTCTCGGACATAGGAAGCTGTCAGGGTGTGACATCGACCGTCTACAACTTTGCCATCTCTTTCTTTGCTAACCTAGAAAAGAAAAAACCTCTATAATTACATTCACATCTCATAAAATATTATTTTAGACAGCAAAATCAGTGCTTACTTGAGGATGAATGCAAAGATTTTTCCGTGAGCTAAGCACTACTCCAGTCATAGTGTTTGGAACCTCTCTTTCCCTTTCGATATAAGCAAGAAGTCTTTTTAACTCTTCCAAGACTTTCTCAATCTCAGGTACTGTTCTGGAGCAGTAAATAAGCTTTACCACTGAGAAAGGGTTTTCAATCATATAAGCAACGATGAGTGAAATGAGGGTAATTGTTTTCCCCGTTCCAGAGGGCATCTCCAACAGGCAGTGGCCCTGCGACACAATATCAACGAGGACATTACTCCAAATGAGATTTGCTGACATAAAAGGCACAACTTTGTGCACAAAATTTATGATTTGAAGGCAGTTTAAGGCAGTCACTTTAAACAAACAAACAGCAATCAAGAAACTAAGTTTGAATACCTTTGCGTCAAGTCCCCTCTTCAGTTCCATCATGTAAGCATATTGTTCTGGGTATATGTAATCATATGGAAAATACACTAAGAGCCCATCCACACTCAACCTGATAATGAGTACAATTTTGTTATAAATGAAGCAAGTAAATCACAGAAAACACAATTGATTGATACAGGTTACAACAGTGATCACAGTAAAAATTGAAAATCAGAGTAGACATGAACTCACTTCATGTTTGCAGGAGGGTTATCAACTGAATTTTTAAGTCAGGAGAGAAATAAGACAGTTAGACGTTTTATTCTTATTGATGAAGAAGGAAATGTCACCGGTTTTATAATTGTAAACAATGTGCTTCTCTTTAGGCCGCTCGTAGTGGATTTTCATACCAACCTTCCAAAAATTATCATTGGAGGACCAAAACTGTCATACATTCCTAAAAAGTGGCGTAATTATCTGAACGTACGATGGGATCGACGTAAAATCGTGTTTCTAATTTGTCTCGTTGGTTTTTGGTTTTGAAACGCCCTGGCCACGAACCTAGCGCTGTGTGCTGAGCTGGCAAGGTTGGCAGCACAACAGCCCTGCTCTTCTGCTGCTCTCCTCCCTCCCTCCCTATCCCTCCACTCCCCCCCGCACATAAGGTGTAATTTACCCGCACGAAGGGCAGTTCAGAAGGTAGAAATTTTGACAAGACAACAAAACACAAACTTCAGAGCTTGGATATTTTTATTTTAAGACATGCTTATAAAAAAGGCAATGACATTGTTCCAACAACTTCATATGATATTAAGCACACGATTAACGGTGAATAAAAAAATATAGCCATATCATATGAAACAGACAACAAGACTATTAGTGCTTCCTCATGGAATCCATCTTCAGCTGCCTGAACTTGAATGACTTCAAGGCATGTGCCATCTGTGCAGAGTCATGCCTAAAAAAGTCCTCTTCTGCAGCTGGCTTTTGACAGTTTAGACCTTTACAATTAAAAAATCCAAGGCCTATTATCTTTTCCTACCAATTCAGTTCAGATACATGAGCATAGGGTTGGCTATAAGCCCTATCCTTTCAGCAAACCTTTTAATTAGCATAATAAAACTTTGATCACAATCAGTATTGAGATAAAAAGCCAATTTCATGAAAACAAGAGGTATTGGCTAAAGTTGTACAACTAACTGTAGTAGGTCCAGACAGAATGTGGAAATCAAAAGTCACCATCAAAGAAAACAAACAAGGTATATTCAAAATGACAGTTTTTGGTACCCAATTGTTAGCGTATGTGGAATCCAACAGTGGTAGAATCTACAGAGCATAAAGTGAAAACAGTTCATTCGATACAGGAAATATAATAATAATAATAAATTCAAGCAATATCAGGAAACAATCAGATTCAAAGTAACAAAATTTAAAAAGAAAAAAACAAAAAGAGAAAAAAAAACAACACTGGTACCCAATGCACCTGGGAGTGATTTGAAAAGATTAGAAACTAGCACTAATAAAGGTGTACAGTTCTTAATCCTCCAATTTATCATTTTAGTCATGGTTGGTTTTACTTAGAGGTTCAACTCTTACACACAAGAGCCTCTACCGCAAGATAAGCAAGGTGTTATGTTCTCAAAATTCTTGGTAGGTAATAAAATTATGTTAAAAAAGGGAAAAGAAGATGAACCTTCAAAACAAGGGAGTGTGAACAATAAATGCTTGACTTGAAGTTTTATCACAAATAAGTTGCATCACAAATCCAACCAATTAGCATACAATATATCAGCCAAGAAACCACTGCCTGTGTCTTGACCCAACAAGACATCAATTATGAAAAGTTGACAGCAGTGTTCTACATTTCTTTGGCAAAATTTTAAAAGGGCCACCTAAAATATTAATTGAATGTTTTATCACAAGTTGACTAATTATTATATGGATGCAACACTAAAAGTAACCACATGGCCAGCCGATTGAAAGAACAATAAAGGAGATGTCTTAGATGATCATCACTATTCAAAAACAACCATTCACAATTACACAATGGTATCACTTTCAGCTTAATTCATTTCACTAGCAGGGCCCTAAGTAAGGAATGCCACTTGACTCTTGGGATATTCCAGGAGTAACCTCTAAGAGTGCACTATTTGCATGTGTATCAATAGTGCCAGAGAGATAGATGGAATGTTCCCTCAAGGGAATAAATTAGATCTTATAGTGACACATTTGGTTATTTTCCTTTTGATAAAAACAACACATGAATATTTCTTCACAGCACAAAAAAAAATTATAATAAAAGCTATCTATGAGTGATATGATGCAACCTGCACATGAAACTCATCATTCAAATTGCTATATTAATACCTCATCATCAAACTATGTACTTATGCAAATAATGGTAAAGGTAAAGAAACTCAAATTATTGAAATAGAGGGGATGTGGGGAAATTCATAGCATTCGGGCAAAAAAATGAATAACAATATACTGGTTAATGGAGTTAAAATTCCTTGATCTTGGTTGAAATTAGTCAAAATAATTAAACATTTAAAAAGACTGCTATAAACTTTAAATGAAATACAGACTTATTACATTCAAAAGTAAATAGGGCCACTGACTTCAGAAAAACTAAACAATGGCACTTAGAAGTGCCGCACAATCACTCATTACTCATAATGAAAAGGATTTTTCCAACCTATGAGCAATTATGCAGTCTAAAGATGGATTGGTCATTGACAAAGTCGCTTAACACCACGAAAAGAACGGGCTCTTCATATGAACACGCTGAGTGAAAGTATCACTAAATGATCTGAACCGGGATGTGGTACCAACATGACCTTTTTGTCTGATGGAAAGAGAAAAAACAATGAATCAGTTTTGAGAATAGTTTTTCAAAACAAATAAAACTACGTACCAATAACCTCGGATAACTTATCCATTTCCCACATTCACTCACCTTTCTACAATTACAGAGGGCATTTGGACGAGCTGAACCGGACTTTTCCTGTCAGTAAGGGCTTGTTTCAAATTTAATATTTGCCCCCTCATTACACTCATTTGCCTTTCAAACATGTGGCGATCAAATCCTTTGTCTTGCTGCAGGATGAGGAAATCATTAGTCATTGCTGTTTAACTTGCAAGATTTTGCTGACACAAATTTTCAGTGAACATACTTTGAAGAGAAGATAAAGATCATCACACAAATCCTGCACATAGTTCATGTCACCAATCAGAGGCAGAAGCTGCTCACCAATGGCTTGACTAAAAGGCACCTTGGCCTGAGGAAGCCATGCCCAATGATAGGGGTATGCTCGCCAGGAGTCTGGATGCTTGAATGGGAAAGCTAAGCCATTATCTATGGCTGCAATTGATAATTGTGGTAGCTGAACCACATTCCATTCCTGACAAACCAGAAAATAAAAAGTTAAGCACTATTCAAGAATAATAATAAATAATTACAGCATGACATTGGGTAAGGCAAACCAACCGTTGCATCTTCCATCTCGCCTCCTCTTGAACTGGCTCGAGAGTTAACACTCGGCTGGTCATATTTAATCAACCAATTATCGTTGCCTCTGTCTGTGTTGCGGATGATATAATCAAGTACAACTAGACGTTCAAAGTGATTTTGAAACTCAGACTGGAGCTTGGGGGACAAGGGTTCAGTCTCAAAGCGTCTGAGCCAATAGTCAGCATCCTTGAAACCCTCAACAAACATCTGAAATGATCCCTTCTGAAAATTCAAAACAAAAAAAGTAACAACAGAAATTAAACAGTTGTTCGAAAGAGCACTTTTAACTTGTAGCACTGCAACAATTATTACCTTGGGAGGAAGACCTATTCTATTAAATCGCCTCCCAATCCATGGTGCTCGATCCATTACTGCTTGCTTTACCCTTGTTTTTTGTCTTGCAATACCTCGGTAATTAAACGTCTCACTAACTAGTTTAACAACCTGTAGAAATATGAAAACTGAATTATAACTGAAATGTTTTAGTGATTATTATGCTACATCTGATTAAAATGACAGCTTACCTTTGTCTTAGGAACAATATTGAGACCCAATTTCTGGTCAACAAGGCTGGCTCCTGCCTCTGACAAATATCCTTGATTTGGTATTAAACATGACCTACCAAAGCAGCACGGACAGCATAGTTTATGCATCCATTTAGTCCATTTGGGATTTAATCGACCATATGGTTCTTCATCTTTAGGTTTGAAGACTGCAATAATTTGCTGTGGAATACATAATAATTCAATTACTCCACTTAGTCAAAGAAATTAAAAGATTACTTCCATAAAATAGAAAAATAATCATTAGAGTATAGACAAATACTTACCCCTGCAGTGTTTTTGACAAAGTATGATCCACTCGATCCTTGATAAATTCTTTCTGGGTAGATTCCATTATCAATTGCCAATTCTGCTTGGCGGACCAGCTCCGCAAATTTCGGGTCATCTACAAAATATTGTTTTTTTACTGTCTAAATACTGCTCTCAGGAATGCGTCAGAATGCAATAACGGAACAAAAACATGAAGCAAAGACTGTTCACTGTTCATGAGACCTTGGGCTATTGCGAGAGATCAGTAATGATCTCTTGGCTTCTCCCAATCAGACCTTGAGACTTTATTGCTATGAGTTGAGTCCCATTTTAGAAGCAGATATTGTTGATTTCACAAGGGTGAAAACAAACCATGAAGATATGTGTGGATGAAGTGTATATGTTCCGATCTTAATCTAGAACTAAGGAACAGATGCGAGAAAAGATCTCGCTTTGGGACCATTTCGATGATTGAGCTACAGAGATTCTCAACGTGAATACGGATTTCAAATTAAAATGTTTGAAGCCAGCATCGGATACTTTCAACAAGGATCTCACTCTTGACAACTAAGGTGTTGGTCAATGAAGTTACATAACCCATTCACCAAGGTGAGGTTACCTGGGAAGTTGTTGAGAGAGCCCTCCAGGTCCATGCGACCTAGCAAGGGCTGGCTCTCGCGGTTTATCAACGGAGAATCAATTGTTCCGAGGATGCTGGAACCAGGGGCGAAGGAAAGACAGGCCCCGTCCTGGAAAGGGTGGTCGTCTAAGCTCTCCAGTGACAGCGGCTGGGGCAGGGACGAACTGTTGATCCTGTCGGTGGTATCCACTAAGGACTCGTCGCCGCTCATTTAGATCAAGGCTCGCTGGGCTTGTCCAGCATAGCCAGTCCAGAGACACGGAGCACAAAGCACGAAGACGGCGCGGCGGGCGGGCGTATGCATGTATCCCCTATCACAACACTATCTCTACGTCTTAGCCACAGAGCAAGCACAAGTGCAGGTACAGCTGTTCGGTGTGACAGCCATCACCATCACAAACCGAACCGACACAATGCCCGGAATGACGTTGTCACGGTCACTGCCAACCAGCAAGAGCACGGGTTCGCCTCCCGGTGGCGGCTTGACTGTAAGAGCAGGTCCGTTTCTCAGACTGAGTTTCATAATCCTCGCACGCTATCACCACAGTTTCTGTGGATTTGCTTTGGAGTTGGACGTTTTGGTGACTTGTGCAGCGATGTTGGCATGTCTGGACCGCTGTCTGCTGGTATAGTCGATCTGCTGTCGACTCTCGAAGCTGTCTTTTCTTTTCGAGACTGGCAGCACTGCCGGGATTTTCAAACTAGTGCGGGGATCTGACTGAGAGCAGATGCGCTCCAGTTTTCCTTTGGTGAGGGCGTTAGATTCGAATTTTGGATGTTTTGGGTTGATGAGGGAAAATTGAAAGGACTCGATCAAATGCTTAAATATTTGTTTAATGATATTATGACCTTACAAATAGTTTACACCTGGACGGACACACATCAATCAAAATCAGACACAGACATTCTTTTTTTACAAGTAAGTACATTGTATATACACAAAAAATCTCATATAATTGACCCCATGGGGGTAGTTGGCTCTCTAGCTTTACATGACAGAAAATAAGTCACAAAGTAATGCTTTTCATACATTCTCGGCCTCGTACAACGACCTTGGCAATGTTGGCACTCCACGTAGGAGTGCATTGGTTTCAAACAAGGTTTTCGGTCTAGAGCAATATACCCGTCATTTCAATTTTAATGTTACACTAGAAACTCATACAGAAAAACATCATATTTCTCATTGAAAATCGCACTAAGGGGGAAACACCCTGGATATGCGGTCGGCGTTTGTTTGGTTCAAAAGCCATGGTGGCAAAGTCTAAAGGATTGGATTCGCAAAGACAATATTTTATTTTATTTCGCAGCGGTGTGACTCGTGTCCAGATATATTCGGACAAACACATGAACGAACAATGTACAGTATAAATAAATATAAATTAACGACTGGTTGAAATGGAAATGGTTTTCTAATAGTTAGAGGATGGCAAATGGAGTGGAGGTAATAGTTTTGAACGCGAGTATACAAAGCCAACAGGCGCAAGGGGCGGTCTGGGCTGCGAACAGTCCTGCTGTTCAAAACTGGAAGACAGCTCTACAAGAAGAAAAGGCAACAGCAGCCGATTTGAACATTGCATGGCACCAAAATACATACAAGTCAAACGATGCCCTGTGACGAAATCCTGAGGTTTACACTGGTAACTTTACATTTCAAAGGAGGGACTCGTCACATTTGGTTTCATCACCAACAGTTTCTACTTCCTTCCTCGATAAAATTAAAAATAACATTTGAACGTTGCTTTTTCGATGACAGTAGTGAGCGGAAAGGTGTCAATGGACGACGACAGCTTCGTGAAATGAGCCGTCTGGAACGAACCCGTCTGGAACGACCCAGTTGGAACGACTCTGTCTGGAGAGACTCCTGTCCTCCTCCATGGTCTCTCGGGTCCTCGCTCGGGTCGCTTCGTGGCTCCATGGATGCACGCAGACAGACGGAGAGCAGTTCCTCTTGAGGCTGCATGCGGCTGGCATGGCGAGGACGATGTAGATGACGATGTCGATGAGGAAGGCGAAGGCGAGGGAGACGTTCTTCTATAGGTAGTCCTCGCTGCCGAAGCTTCCGGTGAAGGCGGCGGAGTTACCTGCAAAAGCACCAGCAAGTTCAGTTTTTCGCGCCACTGGATTCACGGGGACACCACATGCAGGAACGAGCATCTCTCTTGAGTTATGTTTATGCAATTTTTAATATTTTTTACAATATATACAAAATGTACAGTAATCGTCCCGCCCCTACCCCACTACGAGTTAACGGACACATGTGAGCGCGTCATTTCTTTTTCTCGCGTTGTCAGTGGTTTGGCGTCGCACAGTGTGCCCTGGTAGGCAGCACTCATACTCCCCCTGAGGTGGCCAAACAGCGTAAAAGGGCCCCCTCCCCAAACGAAATTCCAAAGCCGCCCCTGCGTGAGAGACCGCCAAGTCCTCAAAGACTCCTCCGGGCTCGGAGTACAGTACCGCCGGGTGGTTTCTCCTGCTTCCGCCCAGCCGCTCGCGGGAGGCGCGGACCGAGGCGCGAACCGAAACGTTTTGCAGTGCAGGGGAATGCGCTGCACCGCCAAGTCTAGCCGCACCGCGCCGATATGCAGCCGATTGCCTAAGAACGGTGCGCCATGTGCCCTGCCCTGCCGTGGCGCCGCGCCGCGCAGAGAATGGAGCGGCACGCCACCGTATGGCACCATTTGACACCCAGGCGGTCATCCCATGGCCATCCCACGGCTACGTACAAGCGCGGATCACCCCCCCCCCCCCCTTTCTCCTTGATAGATGCCTGAAAGGTAGGCAAAAGTGCCTCTTTGCCCCCCCCCCGCTCTAGATTGCAACCGGCGCCATCGAGGGTCGCGCGGCGCGGACGGGCGAGTAACTCGAACCACCATCGATTACCAGCGAGGATTGGATTATCGAACGGATGGGTCAGTGACGCACCACGGCTACCATCGAACATCACCGCGGACTGAGGGGACCGAGGGACCAAGCGCGCGGGTCGAGGCCCACCATGCGTCGCGGACGTGTCGCGGGGTGTCGTTGAACCCGTTGGAGCGCGCCGAGGCGCCACGCGGAGAGACACGCACTTGTTATCAGGGAGGGACGCGTTCGAAGCGACACACAGTGGGCCAGAAGGTCGGTGGAGGTGGACAAAACACTAGACGCGTTTTGAGCTCCAGAGTCGCTAATCGAATCTCTGTCTCTCTCACTCTCACGGGGCGGGGTGCGCAGTGCGAGAGAGTCCGCAGGCGCAGGCCCCACACGCCGCCGGACGATAATTTTGTGAAAACTCGCAGAGACTCGGCCACGCGTTCGCCGCGTTCGCCCGCGTTCGCGCTGACGACTCGGCGGCCGCAGAAATGACCCATTGTCAGTTTTCTTTCAAGTTTTGCAACGATGACGCGAGCGAGGTGCACCGCAAACGACACCAAGAGGGACGCACCGACGCACCCCGCCCCGCCCCGCCCCGGCCGGCTATGGCCTTGCTGCCGGCCCTTCCCTCGCGTCGCGACGTGCTTCGCGGTGCTTCGCAGTGCTTGGCCGTGCTTTGCCGTGCTTGGCGCTTCGCAACGCCAGCGCAGTGCTGCGCGGTGCTCCGCTTGAATGCATCACAGCGACTCGCATTCTCCATTCGGAGTGGCCAAGTGCAATCCATCCGATCTCACGCACTGGGCGCACCGGGGCTTGGGACGCGCCGAGCGTGTCGCCGCCGCTCTGTCTCTCTCCGACAGCGACGACATCGGAATCAGTCTGTTCGGCACGTGAGCTGACCTCGTCCTTAAACCAAACCTTACCTAACCGGGCGCGGATGCAGCAGGGAGGCTTGTTTGCCTCGACACCCGCATTGCTCCTAGATCGCTTACACTGTCGTGCCCGTTGCCCGTCATCGAACGCACGTTACCAACTTTGCTGCCCCCCCCCCCCCCCCTCCCGGCGGCCAATGAATGGAAGCCGCCGAGCCGGCCGCCTGCATTGACGGCGCGCGCGGGAAGCTGCTACAATGTAGAAAGAAGACGGAAAAGACTTTTGGGCCGGAAGCGGCCGAAGCGGGAGAGAAGCAGCATGTTGTATGCAAGGCGGGGCGTTAATGTCATGCCGGGCCGCCGGCTGTAGGTTCGCTCTGTCTCACTCGCACCCTTACGGGACGCCCCATGGGTGCGAGAGAGACAGGGCGACGAGAGTCTGCTGGTCTCCCTCACCTTCCGCGGAAGCGGCTTGAAATGCAGAAAGCAGCGGCAGACTGACTCCGAGAGTCGGTTTCGTCGCTCTGTCTCTCTCGCAGTCTTGGGGCACTCCGTGCGAGTGCGAGAGAGACAGAGCGAAGAAAGCACTGTGCGGAATCAGCGTGGTGTTTGCTCGGCAGCAAAGAGAGAGACAGAGAGAAGGGCGGCTGTGGAAAAGTGCGGCGAGGTGAGTCATGCGTTCCCCGTGCACCAAGGAGTTAGAGATAAAGGTTATCTACGGAAGAAGAACACCACAACTCCGTTTCTGCGCCATCACGGAAACGTGACGAGTGAGGGGGCGGTTTCTGGCGGCGTCACCAAGCAGAGTCATGGCGGCGATCCGATGGGATGGAAAATGGGAAATGGAACGAGGAGCGCCGCCAGGCAGAGAGTATGATTGCCCATGGCAATGAATGAAAAGGTCTACTGGGATGGCACTTTCTAGAAAAAGGCGAAAAAACAGATTTTCAAGGATGGCGTGATTTGAAGAGAAATGGAATGTTTTGTGATAATGTCTCATATGGGCAATTCAAAATTATTTTAACTTTCGAATTTTGAGTTTGAAAATAAAAGGCAAGAAATTTTAATGACGTTTTCTTTTTAGAGAAGTGTTCTTCTGTCAACAACCTGGATGCAATTTTACTTGACAAAGACAAATGCTCATAGTCTTAAAGCAGGTATTTACAGCTTGGATTTACAAGTTATTGTACCAATTTAAACTATTTTCACTGTATTAATTACACCCGTACGAATATGGACATTGTTTCTTTGATGAGGCGGATCGGGAAGTGGTCTGATAAATCAAATTGTAAGTTATTGGATTGTGACATGAATGACAACGAGAGCAAACTCTCAGTCATTCAGGAAATATTAATTCAAAATTATCTTGGACTCTGAAATTTAACACTAAAGGAAATGCGTAACGACGCATCTCAAAGTTTTAATTCAAGTTAATGAGTCAGCAAAGGTCGGCCGGCTGGTTCGAGGGACCACTTCCCGCCCCGGCGAGTGATACCTGAGAGGAAAGATGAAGATGATCGTCCTGGAAGCCTCCAGAGAAGCGGGCTGTGTGCGATGCTGGGTGAGACCGCCCCACCGGGGGCCACTACCCCACCGGGGGCCACGGCGGCCGCCCCGTGGGTCGTGCTGTAGGAGACGCTGGGCCGCAGCCTGGTCGTCGGGGCCCTGCCCAGGGAGCCCCCCAGCGGGCCCCCGAGGGGGCTGCGCAGCGGACCCAGTCGGAACGAGCTGGTGCCATGGCTGGAGCCCACCAGGCTGGCGGGGCCCAGCGGGCCGCCCCCGAGGGGGCCCAGGGTGCCCAGGGGCAGACCGAGGGACGGCCGGAGAGAGGGCCCGGGCCCCGCGACCAGGCTGTTGATGTTGGGATACACACCTCTGGCGCCCCCCGTGCGTCCACCCGGAGGCACGAAGCCGAAGCCCGACGCGCCCACGACCACGCCGCTCGTCTCGGAGCCCGGGGGCGTGTTGGGGAACAGGATGGGGCCTGCGGCAGAAAGAGGCTTGAACACGTGGACGCGGCAAGGCGCGGCTGCGCAGTGAGGGGAGGGGCGCACGACCAGAGGCTGCCGGCAGCGGCGGCCGGAGGCTCGGTCCAGGAAATTTGAAAAGTCGTGTTGGATCAGTTGAGGAAAGAATTTCATCGATTTTCAATAAGAACCAAGCCGAAAAAATTCATTGTCCGGAACGAGGAGTTTCCAGTTTTAATTTACTGCCGGCATTGTGTCAGTTTGAAGCGGAATCTAGGTATAAAAGTAAGAACATGCTGTAGTTTTGCAACTGGAGTTTCAGTACTATACAGATTCACAGATCCTTCCCCTTGGGTTTGGAGGGGCAGATGGGGATCGTTATGACCCCTTGGCCTTGATTCTTCAAGACAAGCAGACTTGAATGAAAACATTGTAAAGAATGCAAGAGGGGACGACAAATTTATCACGCTTCGCCGGACTTTGGAATCATTTTATAGTGGCGCGATAGAGGCAAGGCTGCTCGGCTTGAGGCGCACGAAATGAATTGGACAAAATGAATTGGACGCGCTCCGTCGCCGTGGCCAGCGCTCAAGCTGTGCTCTGAAATAGGAAGAGTCGTAAAAGACTCGAGGCCATGACTAGAGTCGGGGTCATCGCTGGAAAAACGGCTCGGAAAAAGAAAGATTAGTCTGTCACGGCGGCAGATGGTGCCCGACGGCGGCTTTTCGAACTGATTTTCGGTGGAAGTGGTCCCACTGCGGCCATCAGTTCGCAGAGCGCGCGTCCGCGGCGCATCCTGCCGCGCGCTTCGAGATGCCCGGAGAGAAATTTTTCTATCGCCGTCGCTTCGATTGTATCGAAAGCGGCGTGAACGCCCCTCTGACGACGGCTTCGAGCGTGGCGTCGACGGTGGCGGCAGGACCCCCCCGGCAGCAGGCGCCCTACAGGTGCTGGCTGGGGCTGGTGGCGGCCCTGGGGCCCTGGGGCGACCGCCGACGCACGCTGGATACCGCCGCCACGGAGGCGCAGAGAAAAATCGCTCCCCAGGGGGTTACCAGGGTTACCCGTGTTGGAGCGGCCGCCGGCCGCGCCGGAGGACTGCGCGGCGGCGAAGCCGGGGAAGAAGTCTCCGAAGGACTGCGCCGCTGCCAGGGACGCCAGGGCGGCCAGCACCAACAGCACCTGCGGAAAGAGAACGGCTCGTCAGCACAGGGGATAGCGTGGCGGGCCGCGGCGCCGAAGGTTCGCGGTTCGAATCCGCGCCTGGGTTGCATGCGCATGAGTCCACGCGAGGAAAATGCGGGCTAGGGCCTTCGGACGGCAAAAATGAGGAGTGGAAAAAGTAGCCGGAGTCGAGCAGCAGGCAGAAATCACCGTGCCACGGCGGTGCCACGGGGATTCATTAAAGAAACCTCGGGTGTGGCTCGGGCTCAGGGTGGCAGCATGGTGGCAGCCGGGTGGCGGCACTGTAAGTGCCCATTGGCCGCCATTGGCTTTGGCAGCTCGCGGGCAGTTTATCTCCCTCCATGGCGGCGGCAGTGCGGCCACACTGGCAAATGATTTGGCACCGCGGGCGCCGCACCGTCGCCACTTGGCTTTCGGCTTTGTTTTGGTGGTGCCCCTGCCTGCAGGTGTCGATCAAGGTATCGATGTAGGTCGCTGGCACCTCGCGGAGGCGTACACCGCCTCGCTCTCGAGCACCTCCGGTCATTCCTAATTTGCCACGGGCACTTGTTGTTGTTGTTCCATGGCAGTTGGCAGCGCTGCAGCGCGGCGTGCCTCGGCGTGCCCTGGGTGGCACACTGCGCCATTTGGCGCGAGGTTCAAACGCCCGCCCGCCCCGTGGCCCAACAACGGCCCGGCGGCGGCCCGCCAAAGGCAACAGGACAATCCCCGGATAGTCGCCCTGAAGGCAGGCGAACAGCCACACTTCGCCCCTGTAAGCAGGCAAAAACCTTGCCCCTCCCTCCGGCCGACCCTGGATCCGCCACTGCCGCTATTTATAGGGGATCGCGCCGCCCAGCCGGCTGGCCTAGGCTAGCCCAGTCCGCCCGCACCACGCCTCCCTCCGTGAGAGTAAAACACTGTGTAGCGATAAGGCGTTTGCAGAGTGAAAGGACGGCAGGGGAGGGGGAGGGGGTGTTTGATTGGTGTGGCGGAGTGCCCCATATCAGGCAGAGCGCTCCATACAGCAGTGCCATGCAGTGCCATGCAGTGCCATGCAGTGCCATGCAGTGCCATGCAGTGCCATGCAGTGCCATGCAGTGCCATGCAGTGCCATGCAGTGCCATGCAGTGCCATGCAGTGCCATGCAGTGCCATGCAGTGCCATGCAGTGCCATGCAGTGCCATGCAGTGCCATGCAGTGCCATGCAGTGCCATGCAGTGCCATGCAGTGCCATGCAGTGCCATGCAGTGCCATGCAGTGCCATGCAGTGCCATGCAGTGCCATGCAGTGCCATGCAGTGCCATGCAGTGCCATGCAGTGCCATGCAGTGCCATGCAGTGCCATGCAGTGCCATGCAGTGCCATGCAGTGCCATGCAGTGCCATGCAGTGCCATGCAGTGCCATGCAGTGCCATGCAGTGCCATGCAGTGCCATGCAGTGCCATGCAGTGCCATGCAGTGCCATGCAGTGCCATGCAGTGCCATGCAGTGCCATGCAGTGCCATGCAGTGCCATGCAGTGCCATGCAGTGCCATGCAGTGCCATGCAGTGCCATGCAGTGCCATGCAGTGCCATGCAGTGCCATGCAGTGCCATGCAGTGCCATGCAGTGCCATGCAGTGCCATGCAGTGCCATGCAGTGCCATGCAGTGCCATGCAGTGCCATGCAGTGCCATGCAGTGCCATGCAGTGCCATGCAGTGCCATGCAGTGCCATGCAGTGCCATGCAGTGCCATGCAGTGCCATGCAGTGCCATGCAGTGCCATGCAGTGCCATGCAGTGCCATGCAGTGCCATGCAGTGCCATGCAGTGCCATGCAGTGCCATGCAGTGCCATGCAGTGCCATGCAGTGCCATGCAGTGCCATGCAGTGCCATGCAGTGCCATGCAGTGCCATGCAGTGCCATGCAGTGCCATGCAGTGCCATGCAGTGCCATGCAGTGCCATGCAGTGCCATGCAGTGCCATGCAGTGCCATGCAGTGCCATGCAGTGCCATGCAGTGCCATGCAGTGCCATGCAGTGCCATGCAGTGCCATGCAGTGCCATGCAGTGCCATGCAGTGCCATGCAGTGCCATGCAGTGCCATGCAGTGCCATGCAGTGCCATGCAGTGCCATGCAGTGCCATGCAGTGCCATGCAGTGCCATGCAGTGCCATGCAGTGCCATGCAGTGCCATGCAGTGCCATGCAGTGCCATGCAGTGCCATGCAGTGCCATGCAGTGCCATGCAGTGCCATGCAGTGCCATGCAGTGCCATGCAGTGCCATGCAGTGCCATGCAGTGCATGCAGTGCCATGCAGTGCCATGCAGTGCCATGCAGTGCCATGCAGTGCCATGCAGTGCCATGCAGTGCCATGCAGTGCCATGCAGTGCCATGCAGTGCCATGCAGTGCCATGCAGTGCCATGCAGTGCCATGCAGTGCCAGTGCAGATGCCATGCAGTGCCATGCAGTGCCATGCAGTGCCATGCAGTGCCATGCAGTGCCATGCAGTGCCATGCAGTGCCATGCAGTGCCATGCAGTGCCATGCAGTGCCATGCAGTGCCATGCAGTGCCATGCAGTGCCATGCAGTGCCATGCAGTGCCATGCAGTGCCATGCAGTGCCATGCAGTGCCATGCAGTGCCATGCAGTGCCATGCAGTGCCATGCAGTGCCATGCAGTGCCATGCAGTGCCATGCAGTGCCATGCAGTGCCATGCAGTGCCATGCAGTGCCATGCAGTGCCATGCAGTGCCATGCAGTGCCATGCAGTGCCATGCAGTGCCATGCAGTGCCATGCAGTGCCATGCAGTGCCATGCAGTGCCATGCAGTGCCATGCAGTGCCATGCAGTGCCATGCAGTGCCATGCAGTGCCATGCAGTGCCATGCAGTGCCATGCAGTGCCATGCAGTGCCATGCAGTGCCATGCAGTGCCATGCAGTGCCATGCAGTGCCATGCAGTGCCATGCAGTGCCATGCAGTGCCATGCAGTGCCATGCAGTGCCATGCAGTGCCATGCAGTGCCATGCAGTGCCATGCAGTGCCATGCAGTGCCATGCAGTGCCATGCAGTGCCATGCAGTGCCATGCAGTGCCATGCAGTGCCATGCAGTGCCATGCAGTGCCATGCAGTGCCATGCAGTGCCATGCGCTGCGCAACACTTTGCGGCCAAGGGAGGGACTGCATGGCACTGCACGGCACTGCGCTGCAGCCGATGCAATGCGGGACTTTGAAGGGCTCTCACGCATTTTAAAGCGGCCCTGCTGCCTCCTCCGGGGCGTGCGTTTGCAGGGCGTCCCTCGCAGGGCCCATGCCTCGCAGGGCCCATGCCTCGCAGGCCTTACAGGGCTCGGGGAGCGCCGCCGTGGCGCCAGTGCGGAGAGCCACAACTCGCAGGGGAGTCTGGCAGGGCTTGCCAGCAGTAAAGCACACGCCCAAGGCTCGCCGAGACACCGCGACGCACCGCGAGTTGCGTGCGATGCGTGCGCGCCGCGCGGGCTGGCCTACCCGGCACACAGTGGGCCAGAAGGCCGGTGGAGGCGGACAAAACTCTTAGACGCGTTTTGAGCCCCAGAGTCCGCTAAACGCATCGAAGAGTTTTGTCCGCCTCCACCGGTCTTCTGGCCCACTGTGCGGCAGGGCGGTAGGGCCGGGCAGGGCCGAGCAGGCACACTTCACTTTCTCACCGCAAGAGCGCAGCACAGCGGTAAAGTCTCCCAATAAAACGCGGCCGACTGCATCATGCATGCGGCCGCCCCTCTGCCCGTCCGTATGCCTGTGAATCTTCCGTGTGTGTGTGTGTGTGTGTGTGTGTGTGTGTGTGTGTGTGTGTGTGTGTGTGTGTGTGTGTGTCTGTCTGTCTGTCTGTCTGTCTGTCTGTCTGTCTGTCTGTCTGTCTGTCTGTCTGTGTGTGTGTGTGTGTGTGTGTGTGTGTCTGTCTGTCTGTCTGTCTGTCTGTCTGTCTGTCTGTCTGTCTGTCTGTCTGTCTGTCTGTCTGTCTGCGAGTCGGCCTGCCGTTTTGCGTGCGCGCAAGTGGGTGTCTGTGAACCAGTCATCCATCCGCCTGGCCGGATAGGCCAGCCCGCCAGCCTCCTCGATGGTGCCGTTTCATTTCCTGTCAGTCCGTCCGTCCGTCCGTCGCCGCGTCCGCCTGTCCGGCAGCTGCGTGACAGAAGCAGTGCGCTAATACTGGCCTAGTGAAAGCGCATTGTCGTAATCCACAGGGGATGAACACGAGCAGCAGGCACGGACGGCTAGCCGGCAGCCAAGCCGCACACTCTGGGTTACGTACAGTATGGACGTATTTGGGCAAGCTGTGTACAAATTTATACATAAATTAGGAAAGAAACATTCAGAGTGCACAAAAACGACTTGTTGACGAGGCGCCTCCCCCGACGCGGTTCAGCCGGCTCCACCCACCACGCCGTCGGCGCGAAGTCATTTCGGGCCATGACGTCGATGACGTCACTCACGCGGCGCGCGGTGTGTATGACTTCTCGGCCCCTTTCCTTTCCAGTGTCGGGCTGTGTCTAGCCGCTCTAGCCCTGCCGGGCCGCCGCCGCATTGGCGAGCGGAAACCAGTCTGACTTTCGCGTCAACCGTGACAGTGGCAGGACTGCATCGTCTCGAGTGCCCGTCACCCCCCCCCCCCCCCCCCCCAGCCGCCAGTGCAGACGGCGGCCGCTCCAGGCTGCACAACAGGTGCCAATGGTATCCCTTAAGCACGACCGCTGTCCGTTCACCGGCTCGCCTGTCCGTGCAACTGCCTGTCCGTCTGTCTGAGCCTGAACGAACAGTGGCTGCCTGGCTGGCTGGCTGCCTGGCTGCCTGCTTGCCTGCCTGCCTGTCTGGCGACTGGCTGCCCCCCTCAGCCCTTGTTACTTCAGCCCACCCCATGTGGGGCCCTGCATCTCCGCGCCGCGCATGCACATGCGCGGCACACACACACACACTGTCACACACTGTCTCACTCACACACAGCGACCACGCCCGCGCCCGCTGGGTTGGCCAACACTGTCATTGCTGCTTGGACACGCG